GTGAATTACAGAATCACTTAACTCACGGATTTCTGAGCTCTTTACTTTCCACGGTAATTAACTCTGGCCTGCCTACCTGACAGACGTGAAAACCTCTCTGAAAGTTGGCTAGAAACAGTCTTGTGACACAAGAGGTTCTTTTCTGGAAGACTTGTAGGCAGCAGCCTGCGGCTGGACGTACCCTGAACTGACCTCTGTTGCTCTCCTGGGGGACCCCACATGGTCCCCAACATTTTCAGACAAATTCAGAAGCACAAGTGACTTGAAAATAAGTCCCCAGAGGTGCCTTAATCGTTCCATATTAGATTTTCAGAAGAACCCTTCCCAAACAGGAGAGGGTGCCATTTGGAGGAAATACACCAGTGTGCACTGTTACTCTATTCTAATGGAAGCTGGCAGAAGACATAAAGGAGATGGTACTGAACTCATATTGCATGTAGGAGTGAGCACCTAGTGCAACTCTTACTGAATAATGACAAATTGCATGCCAAGCCATCTCTGACACATGCTGTCACACAACTGTGGCAGCAGCCCAACACATCTTAGCCCTGCCTTATGAAAATCGATAGGGACTCTCTAAGGTGACAGCTGAAGAAAAGCACTTCTTATTATTCACTTCATTTGAAGTACAGTGTTTCAAAATACCTATTTTGAGGGGGTAAAGAATGCACACTGGTCTATTTTTTCAGAGCTAATAAGCATAGACTAGGGGGTAACTTGGTGCAGAGACTATGTGGTGAAATGTGTTCATTTGACTTTGACTTGAAATACTTTCCACTGTTAGTAAGCAGGTTTACAAGCTGTAGGGGAAGGCTGATGAGCAAAACAGAGATTTACTCTTAGCCTTTGTAAATGCCTAATTTGAAGGGATTTTAGCCAAGTACTTAGTCTCAGGAGTGTAAACTACTACAACGCTGTCTCCTCCAGCATACAACTCCACAAGCTTTTACCAGCCAGGAATCCTTGTCCTTTGGAGTTCAGACCCGATGGAGAGACCATTTTGGCTCTGTTTTGGAGAAAGATGCAGTGAACCCATAAATTCATTGGACTTCACAGGGAGGCCAGAAGGGAGAGGGCAAAGGTTTGTATTGATCTGAAGTGGTAAATAAAGACCTAGATTATTTCTGTGCTACAGAATAGGGCAATAACTTCACAGTCCATAGCTGTGAAGAACTGAGTGAGACATACAGGTATGGTATCACTTGGCTTTCGCTGTGAACTGAGAGAGTGAGTGTGCAGCTCTTCTAGAAGGAGACAGAGCAGTTAAAAGAGGTGTGTTATGGTAAGTTGGATGAAACAGGTGGGCAAAGCAACCTGCCCTTTTTGGGGACTAACAGGAATGAAATTAACACATCTGCTGGAGGGAGGAAAGAGCAGAAGCACTCAGCCAAGGTGTAGGGGGTTCTCTGGGAACAGAAATGCAAGAGACTGATTTCAGAGGGTCTTTGGGTAGCTGTCTGGGTAAATTAGCAACAGAGAAAAGAGAAGATCGAAACCAAAATACGAAGAAGACTGAATACCTAACCCCACGGGGTACTGACAATACAGGTCACAGACTCATGTGAAGAATAAAGAAGAAGGAAGAGGAAAAATCAAAAGATGGAGGAGCATAAACCCTACAGACTTTTTCTTATGCTCATAGTTTTAAGGTGAAAGTCAGTATTTGCCAGCCATTCTCAAGCTAGCTGTTGTGCACATACAGTCAGACCCTTTTCAAATCTCTAGCAGCTACACAAACTCTGGGCTCATGAATACCATACAGAAATCTAGCAGATCTCAAAAAAATCACTGCCTCAGCTGTGCAGATGAACTGTCTCTCTATTTGCTTGCACAGATGAAGGAAAAGCATTCAAAATAATTTATATAAAGCATATATTCATGACATGTTTTGCTTGTCATTTGTCTGCAAATGCTTCAGTTCACTCTATTCACCATTCAGATCCAGTTTGTGAAATAAAGTCGTCATTCATTCTCAGCCTGGAGTTTGTTCCCTGGCAATTCATTGTGAAGGTTATGGTCAAATATTCAAGCTGTAGCAGTGTCTTTTCATCAGACAGGTGGAGCATTTGACAGTGCAATCATTCTTCAAAAGGTGTAGGTTTTAGCTTTAAGTAACCAGACGAAGTGAACCCGAACTTTGTTTTGTGTGTACCACTAGAAGGAAAGACACTGGTACAGAGACTGTTCCCCAAGGAGACATTTAGATTCCTAAAATCCTCACACTCACTCCCAGAACTAAGTCTGTTAGAGTTTCTTAAGCTTAAATTGTGATACTCCTTGTCATGCGCTTCATCTACCTCTTCTGCTAAGAGGATGAAGTTAACTTTCTAAGAAACTTGCCAGAATTCAAATAGACTTTTTTTCTGGTTTGATTGATTTTTGACTGGTTTTGTTAAAAAGCTGATCTATTAGGGGAAAATCAACTGCTACAGACCCATTCTAAGAAAACTTGTACTGAGAGCCACCAACAAAACCAGGCCAAACGTTTGCAATGGTGTGGCAACTCCCAGCAGTTTGGATAGTTGCTTTTAGTAACATGCTGCTTTCCAATCAACAGAGGAGGTCATGAAACAAAATAGGAGAAGCCATACCTTCAAGAAATTATATTCTAATAACAAGCAAAGAAGGGGTTCTCCCAACCTTAAACCAAACTGAGCACTGGTGTCCCTGTCTCTCAGAACACAGTTGCTCGCTCCTCATGCCCACCACTGACAGTCCTGTGGTCCCAGGAATGGGAGGGCTACGTAGCTTCAGCTCTTCCCCTTACAGAGACACCTAGACTCCCTCTGGAGTTGCCTCTGTGCAGCTCTGTGCCTACACTCCCACTGCATTCTGCTCTACCTGTTTGCTGACTGGTTAATATGTCTGCCATTTAGGTCTAAGTTTTTATACATCTGTATACCTCTGTATACACATATTATGGCACATGAAATCTCACTAAAGAAGCAGGAAATTAGGTGGATACAGCAAAAACACTCTCCAACCTTGGAAGAAGTCATGACTCCCCTGTGTGCTACTTGTGGCAGGAGGTGGTCAGCATGGACTTTGCATTTAAGTGAGAAAAAGTCATCAGAAACAAAACCCATAGAATTATCCACTTAAATTGTCTTGCTTCAATGAACTATTCAGGGGAAAAAAAAAGGTGCATTCAAGGTCTCAGTAAGGGGTATCCATCACAACCCTTCACAGCCCCACCAACACTGGGGTTTGCTCTACCACCTAACCCTCACCTACCCCCTCAGGCCTCTTCAAGCACCCCTGGAGCCTGTCTGGCATGTTCTGCCAAGGCTGTACAGGGACTTTGCAGGTGCTCATTGTCCTTGCAATGCTTATAGCAAGTCCTAGCGATGGTTGTTTTTCAGACAGGTTTCATACTCCAAACCACCTGGGCTCAGGCACATGCCAGAAGATCCTTCTCCTTCTGGTCACATTCTTGTGCACGTTGTATAAAATAAGGTGGGGAGGTCTCTGAAGTGGGGACCACGGCCCTCACTTAGTCTGCTTATTAAAAGCATTTGTCCAATTTTTCTGATTTTGCAGCCTCCTCCAGCTATCTGTCCCACTGTTTCCTCTGTAAGGGAAAGTTTTCACACTGTCTTGCTTTCCTGCACTTGATTCCCCCAGCATCTCTGTGTCCTTTGGATTCAGGGCAGATGTTTATTCCTTTCCTCCCTGCAGAGCTCTCCCCATTTGCTCCTGCCTGCCAGCCTGCTGCAAAAAGAACCCATTGTGCTCCCAGCTAGAAGGATCTGCACCAACGGTGCAGATGCCACCATTATTCCAACGTAGCTGGCTCATGTAGCCTTGCCACCACACTCAGTGCTGCCGAGGGCACCCTATTCCTGCCCTAGGGCTGGGACATCAGCTACTGTAGTCACGAAAAACAAACCAACAATGACTGAATGTGCGCCCCGTTGCAGCTGTGAGATGACTGGCTGGAGGCTCTGGGCCAGAGCTGACAGTGGCAGTTATCAGAGCTGCATGTGCCGGGCATGTCAGGCTGGGAACAAGGCAGTCCTACATCCTGCTCCAGACCCTGCACCAAAGCCTTGTGCATGGAAGCAGCTGCAGAAGGGCAAGCACCATATATAGGGCCTGGCTGAAATGGGCACTTCTTCCATGGGTTGCTTGTCCACAGCAATGCGCATTGCCACATTGGTCTTTTTATTTTCCTGATGTTTCACGTCTTTGGCCTTAGCTTCCAGAATTGTGTGGTTTTACTGGTTATCCAAGCGAGCATGTTCAAAAGCAGTAACCACTCCGTGTTATGGAGAGAGGAATGACTCACTCCCATGGGCTCCAGACTTTGAAAAAAAAGCAAAAAAAGGAAGCCAAATGGCTTGGGAAATCTCATTATTTTAGGTAATTTTTGTTACCTTGGCATATCCAGTCTTCTGAGATGATGGAAGTGGTTCACCCTGCAATTCGACTATCCTTGTCTTGGGATGCATTTCTGACTGTGAGACTTTCTTAGCCCTGCTGTTTGCCAGTAACTGGCACACCCTGGCTGCCGGCTGCCCTTGTGCCCGCTGCTGTGGCCAGTTCATGTGGGTGGGGGACAAGCTGACTTACTGTGCAAATGAAGGGGATGAGAGGCTGCCCAGCTGGATAGGTACAGGTCTTCCTTACTGCCCTCAGATGTAAGCCAGTGCCACACACCACTGCCCAGGAACTTGCCCTGTGTGATCAGCTTGTGTAGAGACAGCTCTGCTTAAAATGTCTCAGGGCTGCCCACATCTCCTGAAAACCTTCATGTAGTTCCCATCAGACACCAACTAACCCCTGGTCACAGGGTTTGGCCACACCTGTGCCATTCACTGCTTCCTTCACCTGCCAGCAGGAAGGAGGGAGGGAAGAATGAAGAGCAGGAAGAAGCCGGGGGGAAGGAGGAAAAGAGAGAGAGGGAGAGAAGGAGGGAGGAAGGGAGGAGGCTGCATTTGGCAGGTACCTCTGGCAGCTAGAATCAGAGTGGCTGATGGTCACTGTGGGAGAAGCTCGCAATGTCCTCGGCAACTTCTGCCACTTCTTTGCCCAGTGGCCTGGCTGTCCTGACAACTTTCCCAGACGTGCTCTTCATTCCTGAAATCGTGAGTGCTGGCTTTTCCCTGGGGAGGGCAGATGGTGCTTGTGGGGCATCCAGCACACTTCATGCTGCAGGTGTCTGAGGGATGAGACCTGACAGAAAGCATGTGGTTCAGGACCCACGTCAGGTCCCTGAGCCACAAGGGTCTGGGGGCAGCCCCTGATGCCTAGCTCACTCTCAAAGAAAACCACAAGCCCTGAGCTGGGGGCTCTGAAGCTCTCCCCTTAGTCTGAAGGGGATTTCTGTGGTACCTCTGAAAACCTTTTGTAATTTCCTGCCTAACAAAGTTGAAGGGGTTGCTGGTGGGTTTAAATTAGGTTGCCAAATTGAGCCAATTAATTAATTGGAAGATGATTTTAACAGCTCATACAGGGAGAGGATAAATTGCTTGCTTAAAGCAGGAGGTAAAGGTTAGCTGAGGTAATTGTTCACAGTGGTAAAGAGCATAGGCTGCTGAAGATGTGCTGCTCAGCTGCAATGTTCCTGAGCTGGAAGTGCAGAGTGCTGGACCTGGGTGTGTGGGCAACAGTGGGTGAACAAACATTTTGTAACTCCTTCCTGTATTTTAATTTCAAAGAGCAGGAGAAGATCATAATCTTAAGGGATTTGGCACAGGTGATTAAAAACCTTTGCTGTGAGCACTGACTGAAATATGGCAAGTTTCAACTAGAACCTTTTTCCTGTGTTCCCTGTCCCTACCCATGAAACCTGCTCTTCGCACAACAGTTTGAGAGGCTTTTTCCAAAACTTGAGCACTTTCATCCAGCATTGAGGGGTTTGGCTGAGTGTTGCAGGATGGCACTCAAATTATTTCATGCTAAAAACTTCAACTTTGCCCTCTGGGACCAAATCCTTCCCTGTCACACAACTCAGTCCACACTCCTGGGATTTACAACATTCTCCTAGTGATAGCAGTCAAGCAAAGAGGAATTAGGTTAAAGCAGGCATTATCAATGTGTGGAGAAAGGTTTTGCTTCAGCTCCTCCAAATATGCTCTGGTGACTTGGTCTCTGCCCAGGCCCTGAGACTGAGGTCCAGGTTTCCTGCAGCTGCATGAAGGAGGGTGCAAAATCCCTGTGGAGCTTCTGGCTGGGCAGACACTGGCCAGCCACCCCTGCTACTGGGTTGTGTTAGTCCTAGTGCTGAGCGTACTGTTGGCCCCAGCATGCTTATGGTACCGGCTGTGCCTTGAACTGTTTGTTTGTAATTCCTGTCTCCAGGGGATTTGGCAAGGCAGCTTGCTTAATGAGACAAAAATAAGTACTGTGCCATTTGGTTTGGGTAAGATCTAGAAATGTGCCTCCTAAAGGCTTGGGAACCACCCTCAAGAAAGCAGAATGCTGTGTAACTGTATTTCTCTGTCTCAAGAGGTGACAGAGAAACAGTTCTAGGTTGCTCAGCTGTATTATCTCTGCTGTGTACAAAGGAGGCAGCTGCCTTGAATCACAGCATTCAGAAAGATAAAGAGTTTCTTAGTCCTTAGTGGAATCTGAGGTTGCCTGCAGTGGGTTGATATGGTAGCTACAAAAAAAATTTGGCATTTGAAATGCTAAGACAGTTGCAAAAATCCCAGAAGTTCCTGCCTGCAGCTCAGATGATTTCCACATCTGGATGTGATGATTAATGATGATAATTTTTATTCTGTGAGGCTGGGTTGAATTCTTGTAATCTGTTTTATCTGAAGAGCTTTCTGTGTATATGGATAGCCAGGCCTATGTGGAAAAGCTGAAACAAACTGAAAACAGATATGTTTGCTTTGTAAAAGGCCATTTAAAAGGTAAGTTTTTCTTAGACTGCTGTCCCCAGCCTGCTGTGGGTTGTTATTGAAAACCTCTTGACCCTTTCCTAATTTTTATGAGTCTGTGGAACCAAAGTCAGTAATCAAACCACATCAAACATACTTGCCTGAGTGAGATATCGCATCCTGCAGAAAGGAGAGATGGAGAGCGGTAAGAAATGAGAAGTGAGACTTCTTCCCCCAACCTGGTATCTCACCCCAACTGTGTTGGATTTTAATGGAGCAACTGTGAGGATTTCTCCAGGATCTTTAGCTGCAATGCACTCATGGTGTCACTACATGAGTTATTACAGGGACTAGATTAGTGTTCATGTGTCTGCCTTTGGTTGTTACAAGAGGAACCAAAACAGCAGCACTTTGAATGACCTGTTTTCACTCAGATATTTGCAAGGTCTCAACCGCATCATTGATTTAATGTACCAATTTACATAATGTAACCAATGAACTTTCCTACAAATGTGGGGTGACAAAGATCATGTGACATTTTCTGAGTGTCATAAATCAGAAACTTTCTTCCCACTTGTAAAATGCCTCCAAAGAAATGGAATTACCATGATTCATATGAGTACATCACCAGACCAACTGGTGATGAGGGATAGGTCCTCACAGCAGCACTGGTCTCCACACAGTGATGAGGAGCTCCTCAGCTGAACCCACATAGGAAACTGCATAGACTTAACTTTGCACAGGTTCGAGAAACAACTGGGCTGATTAGTAGCAGAGAAAAGCTGCTGAGTGCATTTTAGTGCAGAGACACCACTTGCAGGTCAGACACTCTGCAACATTGGACATTGTGCTCTCATCCTCTTGTGTAGGAATCTGCTGGTGGAGAAAGGATGGAGCATAGACATAGCTGTTCTTGTGTTTCCCACCAGAAAACCCATAGCAAACTCCCAAGGCTGGCTGAGAAGAATGGGGTCCCACCTGCTACCAGACCAGCAGCTGGTACCTTGCAGGATGACCCACACAGCTGGAGAAGCAATATAAGCTCTGCTTCCTAGGAGGAGCTGGGAGCCTCAAACTTATTTCCCTTACCTCAGAGAGTAAAACTGGCCATATTACCTCTCTTCAACCTATTCTGTCTCCTTTTAGGGTGACATTTGCATGTGGCCTTCATTAAGGCCATGTCTGTGGCCTTCATGAGGCCACGTGTCTGTGCTGTTTGTGCAGGTGAGCTGGGTTTGACACCACTCCTTTCATGGATCTGCCACGCTGGGTGTGAAGCAAACATGCTGTCTTCATCAAAAGTAGCATTCAAAAATGTCTGAACCAGCCTCCTCAGCACACTGATGTGGGGAGGGTGTGAATGGCAGTGACACCAGGAGGTGGGGCTACAGCAAGGCTTTTTTTGGGTCAAGATCAGAGACTCATGCTCCCAGCTAAATACCCGGTTTCAAGTGGAGGCTGGGAAGAACTCAGAGGTGTCCCTGGGTTATTGCCATGTGCAGTGCTAGTGCCAGAGGTGTGCATGGCTTTTGGCTGTGCTCTGGGGAAGCCAATTTATCTCATGCTCGCCTTCTCTCCCACTTTCACCTGCACACCTTTGGGGGCCTTGTCTGGATCCTGGTGTGTCGTGGTTTAGCCCCAGCCAGCAACTAAGCACCACGCAGCCACTCGCTCACTCCCCCTACCCCGATGGGATGGGGGAGAGAATCGGAGGAGTAAGAGTGAGAAACACTCCTGGGTTGAGATAAGAACAGTTGAATAATTGAAATAAAGTAAAATAGCAATGATAATAATAACAATATAATAATGATAATAACAATAATAATATACAAAGCAAGTGATGCACAATGCAATTGCTCACCACCCACCAACCGATACCCAGACAGTTCCCGAGCAGCGATCGCTGCTCCCCGGCCAACCCCCCCCAGTTTATATACTGAGCATGATGTCATATGGTATGGAATAGCCCTTTGGTCAGTTTGGATCAACTATTCTGGCTGTGCCCCCTCCCAGTTTCTTGTGTACCTGGCAGAGCATGGGAAGCTGAAAAATCCTTGACTAGCATAAGCAGTACTTAGCAACAACTAAAAACATCAGTGTGTTATCAACATTCTTCTACTAAATCCAAAAGACAGCACTATGCCTGCTACTAGGAAGAAAATTAACTCTATCCCAGCTGAAACCAGGACATGGTGGCATCCTCAAAGGTCCCATCATGCATCTTGCAAGGCTGGGTGATGTTTGTCTCTGTGTTCTGCTTCGTCATGTCCACCACCCTCCTGTGCCTCTACATCTGTGGGGTGCATGGAGGCAGCAGCTCCTGGGTCACCTTGGTAAGTGGATGCAACGAACATCAGGGCCTCTCCCCTCCCTGATATCACTGGTAGACAATTGTCTCCTTTGCTGCTACTGCACTCCAAATTGTGGGCTGGGGCTTGCTTGTGTGGGTTCCTTTCTTTTACCCTTCGCAGTGTGCTTGGAAATGACTGTTATCCTTGTTTCTTAGGATGTCATCTGCCAGGAGATAGCAGCTCTATTCTACCTCAGTGCTGCTGTGTTGGAAGCCTACTTCAACTATAACATCAGCTTGTTGCCTACCAACCCTCTGATAATGACCATCTACCAGGAGAACATTGCTGCTGTGGTGAGTGCCTGGCAAGCAGGGGAAGGAAGGTGAGGAGGAGACTGTGGAGTGGCCTCAAGGGCAAATCTTCCACATTCAGGGAGCAGGGAGAGAAACTAGTCCCAGTCCTACTACACATAAATGTCTCCGAACATGCAAGAGTCAATAGAAATGTAATATATCATTATGTGTTTTCTCAGTGCAGGAACTCATACCATATAATAAAAAGTTAACTGGCTGATGTGTTTTTCCATTGTAGGTATTTGCATTCTTAGCTACCCTGATGTATGTGATCCATAAGGTGTACTCGCTCCTGCAATGGAAATCATCCTAAGAGCCTCCTCTTGCAAGTGTGTCTTGTGCTCACCCCATGAACACAAAAGTTGTTCAATGACTGCAGTTTCCAGGCTGGGTTTGGGTTTTGTTTTTTAATGTATATACTATTAAAAAAGGAGCTTTTTATGTGGGACCATGGCAATGAAGATAAAGAGCCTGCCAGAGAAAGCTATATCCTGGCCCAATGTTTCCCTTCAGTCTTTTCTGGGTTGGGTACAGTTTGATGCTGGTAATTGGGGCCCAAATAGAAAAACATTCAGCTTTAAAAAGAGTAATATAGTTGGGTTCAAAGTGCTAAAATCTCCCCGAACCACACCTTTATGCCTCCAGGGTTGTTATTGCTATTAGGGGAAGCCTGAACAACAAGCACTAAGGAGCATGAGTATGAAACCGGGCCATTTTAATTGCCGCCCATCCATGTAAGCCTGTTTCCCTCCCTAAACCTGCTGTGCCAAAAGAACATTTTAATGCAATTTCTGGAAATGCCATCTCTGACGTACGATGAGAAATGGGGCCAATATTTAACTTGCCTCAGGGGCAATATGAGTTATTGCAACCCCTGAAGGGCATTGCTGACTTATGAGGCACAACCATAATGCTAGGAATTACCGCTGTCTTTAATCCCCCTACAAAATACAACTTAGAAGGTGCATGGTAGACTGTAGGACAATTGTATGGATGATTAGAATAATATCTTGAATAAGCAGAGGCAATCAAGTCTTGTCTTTGGTGCATGGCTGCTCTCACATAGACCACTAATAAAGATGGGTTTGCTGTGATTTTGCAAATAGACAAGTAATTTTTCCCTTTGCTGCGCACAGGTACACAGCCCTGTACAGCCTCAGGAGCACTGCACTGTAAGAGGCCAATGCCTAAGGAGGAGGCACAGATGTGGGCATGAATGAGAGGGCTTTTCTGCAAGGGGAGTCTGTGGGGTTCTGTAGCCAGGGACTAAACAAACTCAGGTTAATCTCAGTGATGATGTTCATCTGAATGCTCAAATTACTCCAGTGTTAACTTGAGTGAGTGTGCTGGTTTTGGCTGGGGTAGAGTTAATTTTCTTCATAGTAGCTAGTATGGGGCTATTTTGGATTTGTGCTGAAAATACAATGTTGATAATCCAGGGATGCTTTAGCTACTGCTGAGCAGTGCTTACTCAGAGTCAAGGCCTTTTCTGCTTCTCACCCCACCCCACCAGTGAGTAGGCTGGGGGTGTACAAGAAGTTTGGAGGGGACACAGCTGGGACAGCTGACCCCCACTGACCAAAGGGATGTTCCAGACCATATGATGTCATGCTCAGAATAAAAACTGTGGGAAAGAAGGAGGAAGAGGGGACATTGGGAGTGATGGCGTTTGTCTTCCCAAGTAACCGTTATGCGTGATGGAGCCCTGCTTTCCTGGAGATGGCTGAACACCTGCCTGCTGATAGGTAGTCATGAATTAATTCCTTATTTTGCTTTGCTCATGTGTGCAGCTTTTGCTTTACCTATTAAACTGTCTTTATCTCATTGTACGAGTTTTCTCACTTTTACCCTTCTGATTCTCTCCCCCATCCCATGGTGGGGGAGTAAGCCAGTGGCTGTGTGGTGCTTAGTTGCTGGCTGGACTTAAACCACGACAATGAATTAATTTAAATGGGGTTTACACCCAAGAAGGGGTGTTTTCACATGTTAGAGGTTCCTAACAAACAGTGGTACCAAATGAGCCCTTCCAGCTTGTGAGGCAAAAAATGCTTCCATTTTGAGGCTGAAGTTCCAGGATAATAACAAGGACTGGAGAATGAAAGGGAAATAAAAGTTTACTTGGAGACACCTCTGTTGCTTCAGATCCAGGTGGACTTTTGATCTGTGACCATCGGTTTGGGTTGAAGCTTTTTAATTTAAATGTGAGGAAAACATTTGGGTTTTTTTTTCTTGGTTTTTTTTTCCTTGCTGAAAACCAGCCTGACATGTTTTGCTTGTGTTAGTGTGACAAAAGCAAACTGATTGCAACAGAGGTGGAAAAAGAAACCCCTTTTCAGAGCAGAGGGAACTCACAGATGCTTTGGACAATGGTGCTTCGTTCTGAAGGTTTAACATGCACCTACCTGTTGAACTTGTTTCAACATCACATCATGGGGGGGGGTGGGGGGTGGGGGCAGGGTTTGGTGCCCAGATTTGCCCTGCTTCTATTAACGCCCCTGAATTTAGTATTAAAACACAAAGACACCTTTCTGTTTGGGTCTCTTTACAAAGGCAGACATTTGTGGTCATACCCTGGAATGCGATATCTCTGTCCACCTTCTGCACCCAGGTGTGGGCAGCATCTCTGCACCAAGCTGTCTGTCCCCTCACATTCACATCCCTATGCCTTGTGGCCATCATGTCTGCAGCGTATAGCTTGGCAGGGCTCCCATCTCTCCTCCCCAATTCTTTCTGCCTTGCCCTTTGCTTCTCCCTTCCCTGCCACACACCAGTTTACACCAGGCTGCACTAGTTCACCTGCTTGTCCCTTTCCTTCTGGCCCCACCTGGTTTGCTGAGATATTCCCCCTCCTCTGCCCCAGCATTAGCATAACCTTGCTGTAAACCAGCACTGGAAAAAAACAGGCAGGTGCTGCTGGCATGGAGTGCTCATCAGCCCCAGTGCAGCTGGGGAGTGGCCTGAGACAAGGTTGTGGACATGGCAATGTAACCTGGGCCAAGTCTTTGCCTGGGGAGGGCTGGGCAGAGAGAAGGGCCACCACAGGGTCAAGAGCATCCAAATGAACTGGTACAAAGCAGTGCTGCAACTTTGAAACCCTCCCAGTGCGGCCCCAACTTCAAGCCCATGCAGCTGAACAGCTTGCATGTGAATGAATGTCCCTGCTTGGCACAGAGCTGCTGGGCCCCACCATAGGACAGGGACACAGTGAGGTGTGGCTTTGTTGCACCAGGCTGCTGAAGTGCACCCGTCAGGTGCTAGGTGAGTTGCAGCAATATGCATGTTCCCTGCGTGGTGGAAAGAAGAGAAAAAAGAGGAAAAGAAAATGAAAAAAGCACTCTGAGGTCTCCATTGCCCATCATGCCCAGGAGGGCTGCATGGTCTCAATACAGCCATGAAGACCCACATGCCCTGGAAGCTGGGCAGCCCAAGGTAGCTACCTGGAAAATGGCACACCTCAATGCTTCTGAAGGGAAAGATGCTGCCCAGAGCTCAGAGAATCTCCCAGGACCTACAAACCATCTACCATATGTGCACCACGTCTCGTACCCACAGAAAGCCCTGAGGATAGCATTAACCTGAGAATTTGCTGTCACCCCACTAGAAACATTGGGCATGATGAACACTACAGGCTTGATCCCTCTCCTGTAGATACACTTGTCTGGGGTTAATTGCATATTAGCATGGCTCCCCAAAATGTGACACAGCTCTGCTAAGTGCTGCTTGCACACAGTTGGCCCTTGCAGTTTGTTGACCACAAGGCACCCGCAGTTCTTGCCTGCAGAGCTGCTGCTAGCCCGGTCCAATATATGGGGCTGCTCCATACCAGACTCTGCATTTGCTCAGACATTTCCAGATCCACCCCCAGACTGGCACCTGATCTCCAACAGCATCCTCCTCATGACATTTCATTCATCCTCCCCGTCCCTCGCAGATGTACCTAGATGGAGCAGCCCATTTAAAAAGCCACAAATCAGCCCTTTTTTCAGAGCATTTACAAGTCCCATCACACTGTTAAAACTGGTGCATCTCCACATCCACTACCAGCTTTCAACTGGTAGTGTAACTAGAGTTGCCATCTCTGCTCTTCTCCTCCAGCTTCCTCAGCAAAACAAGGAGGTCTGCAGCCACCTACTCTAGAGAGCAGGTAATGAGACTTTAGTTAAAACAAACTATCCACTTGAAGGCAGTCAAAACCTCAGCTCCTGTGATAAAAGCAAGATTACAGACATATCATTCATTAAATATGTTCAGTTGTAATCTTGGTTGCTCTTGCTTAATTAAATAGCTTCTTAACTGCAATGTTAGCTGTTCCACAAATATTTGTATATTGGATACCTTGCCTCCAGTTATGCAATGAGTTAGAAGCACTTCCACCTTCTCCTGAATTGCAGAAGAATTTGCTCTGTCTGAAAGCAAAGAAACTTAATAGAAAATTATGGCCAGCTCCATGGAAAATGCAGGAGTTTCTGATGTTTCTCATTCTACAGTCAGCTTTATGTGCGAGTGATGAGCAAACTGTATGCTGGGTAAAACATCTATACAAGTGTCTATATTAATATGAACAAACTTGTGAAAACAGGAAACCCACAAAAGATTACTTCTATGGAGGGATCAAAGCTCCATGTGGGTCTGTGGCAGAGTGATTCATGGCTGGCTTGGTCTGCCTCCCCCTCTCCTGACCCAGCTCCGGTCCATTCCCCACCTCTGATCTTTGCACCGAGACCGCAGCCCCCTCCTGCTCCTTGGTCTCCCTTGTGCTAACAGAATCAAGCACTGAAACCCCACTTTGATTTGAGGATACAAATGGAAATGCCTGATTCATGGAAATGCTCAAACATGAGTTATTGTCCTGTGGGTCTGAGAGCCCTAAACCTCATCCAGAGAGCAGAAGGAAGGCAGAGTCTTCAGAAGTCCTGAAGACCCTCATGGGAGCAGATGCAAGTATAGCTATTGTGCAGACCTTGGGGAAAGAGGGAGATTGGTGGTTACTACATTACTTTCTGTAAGTTCTGAAAAGGCAAATGACATTTACCCTACCACTTCCTTACCTTGCAGCTCCTCATTTCTACTAGCACACAAGGTGGACCTGTAAAGTTTGTGTGGATTCTCTTGGAGGCACCAGCTAGAAATCAAGACACTTCCCAGTGCTTTGGCTGATGGAGAAAAGATCCACTGAGAACAATGTGTTGTTTTACCCTGCACTAGCAGTGAGAACAGAAATTACTGAGTAACCAAGGAGGGTTCAAGGGAGATGTCTGTCTGCAGATCTCTACTCACAAAAGACAGGCTGGGACCCTTGTGCAGAGTGATGGC